GGGAGGAGGGAGGGAGGGAGGGAGGGGGAGAGAGGGGAGGGAAAGGGAAGAGCATGGCAAAGCCAGGCGTGGTGATGTACGCCTACACTCCCAGCGCCTAGGCAGTAGAAGCAGGAGAATCACTAACTCAAGCCAACCTGGGATATACAGTGACTATGTCTCATGAATTGAAGAGAGTCACACATGGGTCTGTGCAGTTGCAGACTTCTGTAGCAGTCCTCTGTGAGGAGCGGCCACAGCTGGAGTGAGGGCTGCAGGAGAGTCTGGGGCATGGTCTGGGTTCTGGTCTCCCTGGGGTGGACGAGGTCTCTCCTGGGCTTGTCTGCGCTGGGGCTAGGGTTTAGCAGGCTGAACGCGAGCATGGTGAGGAGGCCGGGCTGCTCCGTGTTTTCTTCTGAGTGCGCTCAGATATGCCTCCAGCTCTCCAGCACAGGGCATGCACACCCAGAGCAGCTGTCCCAGGACACCGAGAGACCAGGAAGGCACTTGTCACACTGGCTGATACCGTCCAAGCAGAGATGGTCTTCTGCATCTCAGTCTCCAAAGTCTAGGCTACTGTTCTGGAGTCATCCTGTCCCTGAGATTCCTGCCCTCCCTTCCCCAACAGAAACATGCTTCCTGCAGCCCAAGCCGCCTCCTCCCCATCTTAAGTTGAACTCACACATCCCCAGAGTTTCCTCAGACAGGACAAAATTTTGGGAGAAAAAATTTTGAGCTATCCGTTTCTGGAAATTTCTCCATCCTCTCACACCCTGGACCATGAATCGCTGACCTTCAGTCTTGCTCTTGGTGTGGCTGATAAAACCCAGAGCCATTCTGAACCCAGATCCCATACGTGTCCTGCTTTTCCCCTGAGAGCCTAGAATGTTTTTTTTCCTGGATGCTCCAATGTTCCACTATGCCTGCTGGGTCAAATTGCAGAGGCCATGCTCCATGGTCATGTGACCTCGTGGTCATGTGACCTCAGTCTAGTCACTTGTGTCCTTTGGTTCCAGAAAACTCCCCTCTCCATGAGCCCTCACACCCTAACCTCTCCGTTCCACCCAGCCCTCTGCTCTCAGAGCCTCTGGCATTATCGTCCAGACCTTCCACCAAGTACTCACCACAAATGGTGTTGCGTCTGGAACTTTCCTTTTTCCCCAGAAAGCAATTCTATTTTTTAATCAATTAATTTTTTCTACAGAACTAGGTCGTTTTGATGTTTTAGGAGTTTTTTTCCTGTTTTTTTTAAGATTCTTGGAGTTTTTGAAAGGTCTTGGCATTGATGGTTTTAAGTCTTTTCTACTCTGGTCTGATTTTTGTGCATTTTTGACTGGAGAATCTCAGATAGATTTCCTCACTGGAGATTTTTGTATCGCCCATATGTGTATAAGTGCACCTGCGTCAGACATTGCCCACAGAGCACAGAAGAGGGCATCGAATCCCCTGGAACTAGAGTTACAGACAGTTGTTAGCCACCATATGGGTGCTGCTGGGATTCGAACCTGGGTCTTCTACAAGAACAACTAGTGCTCTTTTTAAAAATACTGAGTTTATTTCACATGCGTATTTTTGTCTCCCCACCATCTCCATGTCTGACCACCACTATGGCTACAGCTGATGATAACATTCCATACATACTTAAAACCAAGTAAAGGGTGGAGTTCCAGTCTCAGAAACTAAACGAGCATTTTAGACAACACATTCTTGGCAGTGAAACCTGGACATTTATCAAACACGGTAGGGGAAGCTCTCACTTTACATTATAAAAAGACAACTGGGTACCAACTGTTACAGAAACAAAATAAGACAGAATATTTCAGACGGTCTCACTAGTTTCTTCAGGAGACTTCCTCCACTGCCAGAGATCTTGAGTAACCTCCTGGACAGTCACCTGGTGGCAATTCTTCACTTAACTCATGAAATCGGCTCCCACTCTTTCTGTACTTACTTTTTTTGCTTTGATGTGTTCTACAGAACTAGGTCATTTTGTTGATTTAAGAGTTTTTTCCTGTTTTTTTTTTTTGAAAGATTCTTGACCTTTGTGTCTTGGCGTCAACGGTTTTAAGTCTTTTCCGCTCTGGTCTGATTTTTGTGCATTTTTGACTGGAGACTCTCGGATAGATTTCCTCACTGGAGCCTTTTCTTGAGTTTCCTCATCATCTTCCTGTCTTCATCGTCTTTATTTTTCTGTGGAAACATGCTGCCACCTCCAGGGGCAGACCACTTTCCAGACACACTTGAGCTTTACATCCTTCTCCTGGTCTTCTGACTGGGTCCTCCTCCACAGCCACTTGGTGCCGTCCACTAACACGTACGGGCCCCGAACCACACGGCAGCCTTAAGACCACGGGTGGTATCATCTCAAAGCCCCCAAGGGAAGCTGTTGGCTGTGCAGACGTTTCCAAATTGCCGGTGTTACTTGACTTGGACCGCCTCGGCCTCAGCAACATCTTTGTACCAGCTCCTAAACTGACCGTTCTTAATAACCGGTTTTCGTTTTCATCATTATCTGTCGGCCTTTAGTTCACAGCCGACAAAGATAGTTCTGAGGCCTCAGAGGGCTCGTGTCCATGTCCATCGAGTCTTCCATGACGCCATGAGATGGGCAGGACGGAGATAACTGAGTATCGCTCCTCACAACAGACTGGAAGGATGGAATCGCGCCAGGGACAACCAGTGCTCTAAGCTGCTGAGTCATCTCTCCAGCCCCCAACAATTCTATTTTTTAGAATATATTCATTAGACAAAATCACAGGCTTCGTTATGCCGCTTAGACCTATGTGTGTGGTGCACTTGGATCACACTCACCTTCTTTACATTCTCCTGCCCGACTTACTGATCCCAAGTGACGCCTCTTCTATTATCACATACGATTTTTTTAAATCTGGATTCCACATATGAGACAAAATGTGGAATATTTGACTCCCTCAGTCTGACTTATTTCACTGAGCATGATGTCTCCAGGCCCATCCATTTCCCTGTAAATAACATAATGTCATTCTTTTTTATAGCTGAATAAAACTATCGTGTGTATAGGCCACATTTTCTTTTTCCACTCCTTTGATGGACAGCGAGACTGATTCCATTCCCTGGGCATTGCAAACAGTGCCACAATAAATGTGGG